TTGGGTAACAGGAGTAGGGGGATCAGATATGGTGAAAGAGGAGTCTGGGGGAGAAGGAAAAGGAGAGAAACAGAAATCGGGGGGCTCTTTGGGGGCAGGGGAGGATTGTGGGAGTCCATGGAGGTGACCCTAGCTAAGGCTCCTAGTGGTGGAAGTTAAGTAGCCTGAAGTTGCCACCTCTTGTAGCTAGATGGGACTTCCAGTGAAGAGGAGACACCAACCCACCCATAAAACCTTCACCCCAAAATTTGTTTTGCCTACAAGAAGTGTAGGGATAAAGATGGAACAAAGATTGCAGGAATGGCAAACCAATGACTGGCCCAATTTGAGACCCACCCAATGGGAGAGAGCCAATCCCTGTCACTATTAATAATACTCTGCTATGCCTGCAAACAGGAGCCTAACATAACTGTCTTCTGAGAGGCTTCATACAGCAGCTGATGGAAACAGATGCGGAGACCCACAGTCAAACAATAGTCTGAGCTCAGGAAGTTCTGTGGAAGAGTGGGAGGAAGGTTCAATGTCAAAGCAAATTTTAAAAATGGCTGTTGGGCTATATAATGTTATTATTTTTAGCTCTATGATTATCACAGCGGTATTTTCTAACCACCTATCACATAATAAGACACAGACACCTGTTATATTTTATAATTGTTTTATTTACCTTGGGCCAGGCAGATATCCTACCTAGGCTGTCTGAATCATCTCACCATCCATGTTCCAAACCCCATCCAATGCCATACTATCTTCCATCCTATCTTCTGTTCATAATCTTATGAATACTTGCTTGATTCTATATCTGGGCCTTTTCATGTCATTATTGGAGTCCTTCCTACCAGCCCCACATGGTTTCTTCTCCAGCTAACCCATCCTGGCAACCTCCTTCTTCCTCTCTTCCCATCTGTTTCCCGTGATTCTCTCCAAAGTCCGAAAACCTTAGCCTACTCCATTCTGCCCTGCTCAGGAATGGGCTGTTTAATGAACCAGTCAGATATAATGACTTAGGCAGGTTTACATGAGATTAAGTGTAACCAGATCTTGAGGGTCAGCATTAGAACACCCCCTCAACAATTCCCCTCTTCTGTCTAAATAAAAAGGCCATTTTAAACACAGTAAGAACAATATGAAACAATTATTAAAAAATAAGTAAGACTCTTTCTCTCTTTATATATATACATATATATATGTGTGTATATATATATATATGTGTGTGTGTGTATATATATATATAAAATGTCTAGTCTAAATGTATTTGGCAATCTTGAAGAATATATCTATTCTATCTATGAGGGTCTAAGGTTTTGTAGCTAAGTTATTTTTACAGTTTGTATCTATCAATCTAAAAACATCTATCTAGACCTAACATCTTTTTAATTCCTAAGCAACTAAGCTAATTATTGTATGAGTTTCTAGTCGTCACTCCCTTCAGAGACTTGAAAAGGAATAAAATTAATTAGTTGAGTAAATAAGAAGTGCATGCTAGCAGCTTCCAAAAAATAGGAAATGAAAGAGACAGTTTGCTGCCTGAAGAGCCACCCAAAACTTTTTATAACGTTGGAGCATCATGTCAAGGACATAAGAAGATCATCTGTTTGACCCTGGACCAGTGGCATAAGAAATTGTCTGATCATTCACTAATGGAGACGCAGGATACACAACAGCCTTCGAGATGGAATAGAAAAGAGGACTTTGCTTTATAAGGCTGGCAACCTTTATTCAGTAAGGCAACCTGGACACATGGGGCTCACAGAGACTGAACTACCAACTGAAGAGCAGGCATGGGCTGGACCTAGAGCCTATATGCAGCATGGTCATCATTTGGTCCCCTAACAATGGGAATAGAGGCTGGCTCTGACTCTGTTCCCTGCCTCTGGATCCCTTTCCTCTAGGTGGACTGCCTTGCCAGGCCTCAGGGGGTGTAGATGCACTTATTCCTGCTGGGATTTGAGAAGCAGGCCTTAGGGGCCTCCCCTTCTCTGAGAAGGAGAGAGGTGAACAGGGAAAGGGGCATGAAGGTGGGACTGGGAAGAGAGGAGGGAAAGGCCTGGGATCAGGCTGTAAAGTGATTAAATAAATAAATGGGAAAAAGAAAAAAAATGTGTTAGTGATTAAATAATGCTAGTCTTGGCTATAGTGAGGCTATTGTGTTGTTAACTGGGCTCTATTATACCTGTTTGCCTATCTAAACCTCCAACTTTACTTATACTGCAAATGTCAAAAGACTACATGTGTCAAAAGCCTCTAGATTTGGGGGAGGCAACCCAAGTAATCCCTATGACTAAGCAGTATTGATTCATGCAGAGGTCTTTGGCTTAGTTTCTATGCCTTCTTCACCTGTTCCTTTCTTGACTATTTTAACTTTAGGTATAATATTCTAATTATGTATTATGTATAAATGATATACTAGTTATGAAAGACAAAATTTTAAAAAAAAAACCCAGACCCTGCTCATGAAGGTGCATAAATTCAATATGATCCAGGAATCTATTCCTTAATGACCTTGTCAACTGTTTCTCTTTCCTGAAGTCTGCCTTTCTGCCTACTCAGTTTCATCTGGGAACTAGCTTCCCTTGCTCTGTGGGCCATAAGACAACGTTTGGCCTTTTCAAGAGTAAAAGGTGATGCTTGGTCAGTTTATTAGTTACTTTTCTCTTGCTGTGGTGAAATATCATGACCTAAGGCAACTTTAAGGAAAATGAGGTTGTTTTAGCATTCTGCATTCCTGAGGGATAGACTCCATCACTGTGGGGAAGGCATGCTAGGCTAGGCACGGCAGCAGAGGCAGGAAGCTGCCATTTCATCCAAATGCAAGGCGGAGGAGGGAAAGGGGGGAAGGGAGGGAGACAGAAGAGCAAGTAGGTTATAGCTATAAATCCTCCAAGTGTGCCATCAGTGCCACACTTCCTCAGTAAGGCAACCCACCCCCCTCCTAAAGGTTCCCTAACATCCCCAAACAGCACCACATCCTGGCAACCAAGTGTTCAAATTCATGAACCTATACAAGGCATTTCTCATTCAAACTAGTGGAGCAAAAAGGGGAAACTTTGAAGTGAGGTTCCCAGAACTGAATAGCACATGTATGTTAAGAATTAAATAAGGATGGTGACTGATCTGGGTTGTGGAGAGCTAACATATTGCAGGTTAGGGCTCAAATTTACCTTGATCTATTTGCACTCTAAATACCTATTTGTTGTGTACAACTGACCTAAATTTCATGTGGCTGTTGGGTAAATCCTTTTATGTTGACAAGACTGGGAAAATCCAACACAATATTAAAATTAAAAAAAAAAATCCTCCAGAGAGAAGCCTGAGTTGGAACCCTGGACAGTAGCCTTTCAACCTGAAAGACCTTGGCACTGTTGGTACCCTCTCCTACATATCTACCCTCTCCCAGAGTTTTTGGTTTATTCTTCGCTTTTCTCTTCTCAATAATTACACAGTTTATGTCTTCAGGACCAAACAACTCCCAACTGCAAATGGTGCTCCGTCAACAGCTGCCACCAGAATTGACAAAATAGGCAATGGGCATGCATCATCTGTTTGACCCTGGACCAGTGGCATGAGAAATTGTCTGATCCTTCACTAATGGAGACGCAGGGTACACAACAGCCTTCGAGATGGAATAGAAAAGAGGACTTTGCTTTATTCAGCTGTAGTCCCCTACTCAGCACAAGGTAGTTCAAAGACTGATGATAAATTATGGAGCAGTGTCCCGGGGAGGTTGAGGAGAAATATACATAGGGCACAGTTTAGCAATCTGGATCTTTGTTTAGACACATCCCTCTCCTAACAATGCAACCAGTTGGGAACCTAAAACACCTACATGCACGGAGCTGTATCTGTACCCCACTTAAACAATGGAATAGGTTTCCTTCCAGCAAAGACCATCAGACATTGATAGCTTTTATTCAGTCATATTCTACCTAAACTGGGGTACAGAATGGGGTTCTGATACAACTTGAACTAGTCTTGTGTGCATGTACAATAAGGGAAAATGCACTCTGAGTGAACTTTTAGGAAGAATACACTGTTTAACCATCCTCTGACTATGTATAGCTGGATGTGCATATGATTAAAATCAAACACGTTATAGGAAAGGACGTGCATAGTGACAAATGACTTACATAATCTGCTCTGTCAATCAAAGCAGAGAACCACTGATGCTACATCTTTTATCAACCAAACGCCTTCTTCTCTGGAAGGCCACAGAATGAACCCTCCAAATTATCAGGGCCTTTGACTGTGCTCGCTGAAGTGGCCCGCTGTAGACCGTATATGTTTCTAATCTGCACTATGGCTCTGCTCTTAGTTTTGTTGTTAATTTGCAATACCTCTGCACCGTTATTTCAATTTCTTGACCAAGGGACCCAGAATATGGACCCCCCCCAGCTCTGAACCTAACAGGCAAAAGCTACACCAAGAGGACAGAAAGCAGCTGCACTACTTGTTATCAGGTGAGGGGAACTTCTTAAACAGTCATGTAGACATTATTAAAGGAAAAAAGAACCTGGAGAAGGTCAGAAGGGCTTGGGAAATGAAGTCGAGGCACAATGGACCAGCGAAAGTTTAGGGTGCTTAGGAAAAGCAAGCCAGCCCAGAGGGAGAAGCTAGAGGTGAATGCAGACCTTTAGAGGCAGGATGAGCAGAGCGGGGGTTGGGGGTAGGGGGTGGGTTTCCTTAGTCCAGGGACGGTCTCGAAAGGCTACACCCTAAGGGGCTAGCATGGGAGAGCGTGCAGGGTTTGGGGGACACAGCGAGTCCTATCGCTTCTTCGCAGAGCTCTGCGCGACCGATGCCAACGGTGGCCACGAGCACGCGCGCTCTCAGGCCCGCACCACCTCGGCGGGGGCGGGGCGCGATGGAGGTGGTGACGTCAAGGCAGGGCGCGCGCCGCGGGGCCGCGGACGGAGCAGGGAGGCGGGCGCTGCGCGCGACCGCGGGCGGAGCGGAGGGCCGCGGGGGGCGGAGCGCGGCGCAGCCAGGAAGGCGGGGGAGGAGAGGCCCGGGTGCCGCGCGGCAGCTGGGGAGGGGGCCGCGGCTGGGCGCGAGCGGAACAGCTGATCTGGTTTTCCCCGAAGCCAGGGAAGATGGAAGTCGGCTAGCGGCGACTGCGGCGCTGCGGGCGGACCGGCGGGCGGCGCGGCAGGTGAGCGGCGCTGGCCGCGGTGCTGCCGGCGGGCGGCCGGCCGGGCGCAGCGGGCAGGTGCGAGGAGGCGCGCGGCGCGGGGTCGCCCTGCGCTCGGCTAGGAGGCAAGTGGGCGCGGGCCGGGGCCGCAGGGCGAGGGGGGCGCAGGGCTCGCTGCGCGTCTGCATTGCGGGATCCTTTCGGGATCCCGTGGGCGCCACGGCCACCGGCTCCGGCTTCAGCCCGGCGAGGGCAGGGCGCGGCGCTCCCAATGGCTCGGGCAGCTGCCTCCTGGCCCTTTTCGCGGTTCCGCACTGGAACGTGATGACAAGCGCACGGGGACTGGGCCCTCGGTCCGTGGGGGCGCGTCGGGGGTCCCAAGGGCAAGGCAGGTCCAGAGCGGCGCCCGAGGCCGCTGGGTTGCATAGGGGTTATGGCTGCGTGGGTCACAGTGGCCCCGCGCACTTCTCGCTGGTCGTTCCTCTGGGTCTGGCTGGACTGCCGCGAAAGGGTTGATGCAATTTGGCTCTGAACCCAGAGGCCTTCGCTAGTATCTCCTCACTGGAGGGGGAAAATTGTATCTGTGCTTTAAGTGCTCCTTTAAATTTGGGAGATGTCAGTGATGTCATCATTAACTAAAACTTTCCTTCATTGGACATAACCGCTCAAGTGTACCCTCCTCCCGACCGGTACAGCTGCTGCAGCTCTTTGAGAATCTTAGCCATCGAATGGATTTGCCTCTCTGCGCTCAAAACTCGAAAAACCTCACAGAAGTGCAGTTTTTATTCTGTTGGCTAGAAAACTGGTACATTTAAGAGTGGCTGAAAGAAAACGTGCCCCTCCAGGTTTGGAAATCAGCTGATCCAGAGCACATAGATCCATCATATATGGAAGCATGTGCTTGTACCTTGCCTAAGCTCTGTTAAGGATAGTGACCTGTGCAGGGAAGTACTTCTTAGAAATCGTCTATTTGATGTTGTGTCCACGCAAAGGTAGACAATAGAGCCCAAGTCTTTTCAGGCCTTGATTGCTTCAGGTGAATCTGCTGGGCTGCTCCTTCACAACATCTCCTAGGGTGTGCCTGAGAGAGGTAGGTGCTGATTTCTTTAGGGCTCTTCCAGCACTTGTCTGTCCCACCAGACCCCAAGACCTGCCCAAAGCGTTCAAGGAATGTGAGAGTTTGAGATCTGCACAGCACACCAAGTTCTGGGGGGAAATTCCTCTACAAATGCCAGCGGCATGCCATCATTTGATTATATGAGTGTACCATTAGTATCCGCTCTTACGGGAACAGCCGAAAGCTAGTTCCTGAGACAGTCTGAACATCTACTTAGGCCTGCTGTATCAAAAGCATATCTAACAAGAAACCAAAGTATTGATGTTTTTTGTATTTAATAATTAATGAAACCTCCTAATTGGTTAAAATAAGGATGCCTTAAATTATTAGTGTGATCATACTGGGTTTGCAAAGAATTCAATGCCAAATGTCACAGGAAGGTTTGAACCTGGAACCTGGAACTAGTGGTTACTGTGGCCCCTACCAAGGGTAGGGTGAACAGCAGTTCAGGGTGAGAGTGAATGCAAATCATTGCTTCGTGGAGTCTGGCTAGGTACTAACCTCATCTAGGCCTAGATTCCAGGTAGCAGGTGTCCCCTTGGAAAGTAAATTCCGACAGCCCCTCCCCCATTGCTGGAGGAGGACAGGGGACAGCTACCAGTGAGGGAGCAGTGTGCACGAAATAGTCTCTGACCTCTTGATAATGTCAGACTTATTCATGGTGGCATGCTGCGTGAAGGGGCCTTGCAGTGGAATTGGCCACATGGACTGCTTTTCCGTGATGCTTCTTTTGCACAGGTTGCCTTGTGAACTTGGCTTGTAGGCAGTGCCAAGGTTCTTTTGTATTTAAAGTACCTTCTGTGGTGAGTGGTTTCAGTGCTCTGGGCTGCATAAATAGAGCCTGTGAAACTGTGGTGGCCCTTAGAGCCACTGTTTCCACCTGAAGATCTGTGAAAATATTCACTTTTTTATTTATTCGTTGTGATACTTGTGAATATATAGCAGCAACTATTTCCTCTAGATTTTTAGGGATCAGTCATGTATTTCCTGTAACATCCCAAAAGCACATTTGAAATGCGTTTGATTGAGTGTTATGCCTTTTGTTTCTAAGAAGCTCAAATTACCTTATCTTGTCATTTTGTCTGTCCCTCTAGATTTTAAGGTCATTCATCCATGATTTAGGCCCTTAGAATAAAGGCTGAGTCAGCTCTTGCCAGGCCAGCAGGGGGCGTCCTAGGTATGTCTTGACTGCCTCTACCAGAGCTTTGGAAAGAATTACCAAGTGTATATGTTGGATGGGTGGTTCATGTGTGTTCATGTGTGTATGTGTCCGTGTATATACCCTTCCAATTGTCCCATCCCCCCACTGTGTACCCAAGGAATGAGACTGGAGGATAAGATATGCACTTGAGTGACCAGAGTTGGGGCCATCAGTGGAGATTTCTGTAATTGCCCCTGTCTTTGAAGAGTGCTTGGGGACAAGCACTCCTGTGTGCTGGTGAGAGCACCAATGCCCACTAGAGGCACCCTTGGAAACCTCCTACTCATAATGGTTGGCCATTTCTAACTGACCAAACCATGGTTCTCCATGTTGTGGTATTTACCAGGGGAACCTGCTTGCCCCACCCTGGGCAGAGTGATTAGCCTCAGGATCTTTCTAGTGGAGAAAAGCACATAGCAAATGTTTAGTCAATGCTCAGCTTTCTTCCCTAGAAAAATGAGAGCAGGAGAAAGTAGGCAATCACTTTTCATCTTACTGTGGTTGATATGACCATAATGTATGCCTCCTGTTATTCAACCACATCTTCCCTGAGAGGCTTTGCCTTATGAGCAGTGAACTCACATGGCCACAGTCTGCCTGAGAGTAGGGAGCTCCTGTGGACATGCCCCATGGCTTCCATAACTGTTGCAGTGTTCAGCTGTTCTCTTAAGCCCCAGAGACTCCTGATGGATCCCACCTACAAAAGGGACTTCTCATAGCTTGAAAGGAGAGTTTAGTGGACACCCTATGAGAGAATTCTCCAGGTACCCTGACTAAGTGTACTTAGTACTCTTTTGAAATTGCTTGGAAGACCAAATTACAGGTTGCCAGGGGGCAAGTGGTAATGCCATAGTTTTTAGCGTTCTGCTGGGCCAGGCTTTTTATGCTGAGTGCTGCAGATGGCCACTAGACATTAAAGACAAAGGTTAGCAAATCATTTGCAAAGCTATTTCCACTGAGGGTGACCAGAGAAAATTCCACTCAAATAGAATTCGAAACCTGCAGGCACTTAAATGGAAATAAAACATTCAGGTCTCTTTTGATAATTAGCTTTAAAATATTTTGAACCCTGAAAAGAGTACTTTCCCACTGCTAAGGCTGCTGTGTCCCCAGGAAATTTGTGTGTAAGACTAGGAATAAAATGACCTTATAAAAGACATGACAGAACAGTGCAAGGAGAAGGCTTTAGGATAGGATTCTTTTTACCGTTTACAGTAACAGACAGGTGAAGTGGTTTATAAATGTTTTAAAATATGAGGGTTGGTGCCTAGTCTTATTGCATCTTGATATGCTGTGTTCAATTGATATCCCTGAGAGGCCTTCTGTTTTCTGAAGGGAAATGGAAGAGGAGGAGTGGATCTGGGGAAGAGGAGAGGCTGGGGAAACTGGGAGGAGTGGAGGAAAGGGAGGCTGAGGTTGAGATGTATTATATGGGAGAAGAATAAAAAACATCTATTGAAAGGGCTGGATGCCACCTGTGCCCCTGATTGTGTGGTGGGAGTTGTTTGGCTGGCTGGCTTGTAGACAGTGTCTCTGGACTGAGGCAGAAGGGTCAAGACAAGGATAGGGAGAGTATGAATCCTGCAGCAAGTCTTAGCCAGCCACTCTTGGCAAGGCATGACTTGATCATGCCCCATGTTCATCATGACAAAGTAAAACACTTTGCTTCCCATGTCCCTAAATTCTTATCTGGTAAAACTGGGACTCTACACAGTCCCAATACTTACTGCTCTAACTCGTGGTTGTAACTGTTACATTTTCTGAGAATAAAGCACACACGATGCTAACACGACTCCTGTGTGCATCTCTTTCCCTTTAAACTAAGTAGACCCACTTTGTGAGTTCAGAGGATTGAGTTTTTCTCCCTCCCCTCCCCCCATTTTTTTTTCTATTTGAGCATAATTTATACTCCTAGTTTTCCTTACCAATGCCATGAAAATATGATGACTGAATGGTTGTGCACAAGTGACATGCTGTGTTTGATTTATGGAACATAAAATTAGACCTTTTCAACTCATTTCCTTGTCTGTTCTGTTTCATTCATTGTATCAGCTTACTGCACATTCATGTGGTTCTGGGGTATCCACCATGATGAGATTGGGTGACGTTCCTCCTGTACTAAACTAGCTTTAAAAGCACACTTGGAAGGAGGCTGCCTGACATAGGCACAGATATCTGTCTAAAGTGCCAGCTCTGTCGGGTTGAGCCTTTATTTACTGCCCTCTGAGGCAATACGCTGCCCCAGAAGGTTTGTCAACTCAGTACCTGTATCAGGCATGTTGGAGAAGAGGCTTCGGCGCGCATGCTATGGGACTCTTCTTCCCCAGCCTCTAATCTGTCCATTCCTTATGCTAATTAGATATCCTCAGATTCAGATGTTCAAAATCTCCTATATGGTTGCAGTCCATTTCTTCTCAATTCCTTCAGTGTTGATTTGAGGCTTGAAACTAGTGTATTATTTGTCTGTCCATTTTTTTATTCACTATAATCAAATATCTGAAGCTGGATAAAACAAAGGAGGCTTTAAAAACAACAAAGGAGGCTCATAGTTTTAGGGGATACAAGTTTTAGGTCAAGTGTTCCCTGGTGAGGACACCCCTGGCTGTATGGCAGTGTGACAGAAGGTAACAAGAACATGGACTAACCTCACTTTATGACAGCCAGCTCTCTAGAGGACCCCTTACCTCCCTGGGCTCTTTATTA